ATGGAAGCAGTGTCTCCCTCAGTGGCAGCAATAGCTTGGGCAAAGCTCCTCCTGAAGTTGTAGGCCTTAAAAACTGCTATAACTCCTTAATTCATTGGCTGGCTCCAAGAAATGGTATTTGAAGGGAGGCATTCCACTTTGATATTGGATGAAGGTCACTAGCGAAAGGGGATGTCTAAGAGCATTATCAACAACAAGCAAAATCTCAAAAGACCCGGTATTCTCTCAACAGTACTTCTCTACTTAGCCAGCAGAGCAATTCGGGAGGGCATCTTGGAAGAGGAGCCGGGTCATCCATGACTTCTTATTGCTCCTGTAGAACACTGGCTGGTGTGCTGATTGATATCCTGAAGGCCCTGGAGTTCTCAATGTGCCAAATCACAAAGGGTTTCAATATATAACCTGCAACATTGGCCCCCAGCAAGGCCATTATCCTGTCCTTAAAAGCCTTGAAAGCTAGCATTGACTTGGTATTGTCTTGACATCCCCAACTTCTCTTTATCTTTATTCAACTTTTCCTGTCCTACCTGAACTTCCTTTGTTATCTCTTACCATCTGTGCTGTGAAAACAGAGCCATTTCCGTTTCCCGATAAGCAAACAGGCACAGGTCTGGGGCATGTCCTTGACAAGCTCACACAGCCAATTGTCACAGGTGTCCTTGGCTCCAGATTCAGTGGACTTGATATAATTGGCATCTCCCGACTTTCAGCTTTCTATAAGGGAGGATAAAGACTCAGAGTGGAATTGGCACATCACTGAAACTGTTCTTCACCATTGTCACCTCAATCCCTTCTCACAACAAAGCAAAGGAAGCACTTACAGCTTTAGTTTCATTTTCACGGGCAGGAACTCTGAAGGCATCAGTTTCACTTTCCAGTTTCAGTTTTTTCAAGTCATTCTATAACAACACGCCCACAGTTTACCTTATTAGTCAGCTGTTTACCTCCCTTATATAGCCCTGCCCTGATCTTGAAAATCTACAAGACAGGCTGGACAGATCTCAGTGGAGCCCATCCAGCTAACCAAAACACTGCAAACTGTTGCCTAAATTCTTAGCAACCATGAGGTAAGGATTTCTCTGCTTCTCCGCCTTTTTGCCTAAAGTCTTTGGAGAAAATGTTAATCATTATTATCTCGACAGACTTAGTTTCAGTGATGTCAAGTCTCCTCACTCTTCTGTTTGAGCATCTGCTTGTGGACTGAGTGTATGTGTGAGTGTGTGTGTGTGTGAGTGTGTGTGTGTGTACATTCACACACAAGGATAAATTGTTTTATTTATTCAGGCATTTTCATTTTTGTTAGCATCACCCTGAGGAAACTTACCTCATGTTAAAAAGTCCAAAGAAAAGGAGGGAAACAGGAAAAGAATTTCACAGGGAGAAGATGATCCCAATCTCTGAAACTGTTTTCCACCAAACTCACTCTGTCTGACATAGGGAGGGAATGGACACTTTGTCTGGATAGAGAGATTGCTTTTAGCGGGCTCCTGGCAGTGAAGAAATGCGGGACCCACACAGCTGTGAGCTGCGGTCCTGAGGTCTCTCAGATGCCTGGAGGGAAATATTGTGGGGATGTGGCGGGAGCAGCTCACTGCCTAGAAGACAAGGCCTTGCCCGGCAGGCTTCTGGTCTCACTGTTAGCACTGAACTCCTTCCATCCAGCTGGATTTCAGATCAGCAGATGACCTCCCTCCTGGGGAGGCCAGGTGCTCTGCAGACCCTGGCTGGCCTCCTGTCCCCGGGGCTTGGCTGCTGTTCACTGTATTGTCTTCTTTCAATAAAGGGTCTAATGTGGGAATTTCTATATTGTCCAAATGGAATCTAGATTCAAACAATCCCGGAGGGCAGCAGATTAAAAGAAGGCATAAATCAATATTGATCTGTGAATTTCCCCTCAGTGCTCCAATGGGTAAAACACTGAAGGGGCAAAAGTTCCAGAAAATGCACAATTACTGGCCCTGATCAATCCTCCACGCCTCCTTTGGTCCACAGAAAGAGAGGGCTGTCACTGGTAATTGTTATTATACTATAAAGGTAGCCATCACTTCCTAAATGTTCATTAAATGCCAGCGGGCTTCTAAAATTATTGTGTAAATTATTGCGTTTCACCCTCTAAAGAAAGGGTGAGGCAGCAGCCTGTGGACTGAAAGGTCCCAAGTTCAATTCTGGTCAAGGGCATGTACCTTGGTTTCAGTC